ATATATTCAACGTTCATTCAGAAAAGACTCACTGAATATCAAGATTCTTTGAGATTCAGTGAATCTCAAGATTATTTTTCAGGAAGGTCCTGCCAAAGATTTTTTTCCCAGTAGGGGGAACTAATTGCGGCATACATTCCAATTAAGTAATATGCGGGGATATTTTTTTCAAATGTAGCCAATTTTGACCATGTATGCCAGCCGGCACACAATGGCCTCCTCTTGCGACTGACGCCACAGGATCTTTTAACGTCTACCGTGAAGCAGACGGCGCGTCGTATCAGTGTGCTTAACGCGGCGGTAGTGTTAATCGTTCATTGTGATGTTTGGCTAATTAAATTCGGGAGTGCTTTCCATGTCGGTCACAGGGGGTGGCCAACCTGGAAGAAACCAAGAGCCCAATAGTTCCCGTGAGTTCTGCAAAGAGCCAAGTATATATATCAAAGTGTATATTGTGATAGTTTTCGGCACAGCGCGGGAGACATTCATTATTGTGATAGTACGTTCTATCTTATGCCCCTTCGACAGAGCCGCACGTGGTGGATTAAACAGCTGCTCGGTGAGACGCCAGCTGACCGCCGCTGATGTGGGAGAAATCTGGAGCATCCAGGGAAAACCCAATACTACTCATAGGGCGGTAACAATCCGAGATCCACACGCATGGGTCCGTGAACCCCCTTCGATATGCCGTCATCTCCTGGCCACCTCGCGGCGCATTTGGTTTAGGAGTTTCACAACTCGGTGTTATCCACCGAGCCTGGTCTCCAAAGCGTTGGTTCAAGCGGTGCGCACCACGGCGTCTGACCGCGTCAGCTGCCGAAGGAATGGGCCCTCTACGGTCACGGCTATCTAAAACCTAAAAACTAAACTTTTTTAAATGTTATTTTAGCAGGTAAGGCCCACCTTGATACAGTAAATTTAGCTGTGACGGTCCCACCTGATGACGGAGACTTGTGTTGCCTCCGAAACGTCGTGATTTATTATTTTATTTCTATTATTATTTCTAGTATTTTTATTATTTATTTTTATTTTTACCTACGTGACTTTACCGAAAAAACCTAAGAGTAAGGCCCACTGAGCTGTATAGCTCTTTTTCAGAAGCGACGTGGCTATCACAAATGATGTCCCAACGAAGTGGCTTATCACGTGGACATTTATAGCTGCCAAATACTCTAAACGAATGATTCTGAATGTGGGGGGCAAAACCGGAGGACCCGGAGAAAAATCCACGTGACCATGGGGAGAGAGAGAGAGAGAGACACGCAAACACCAAATATATACAGCGGGCATAAGGGTCAGGATCGAACCCACGACCTCCTGTATACCAGGCGAGCTAGTTAACATCTCCTAGCCACCGTGGCACGATGTTAACGACACCTCGCATCTCTGCGTGACCCACCAACCCAACCTCCACGTCACTCCAGTCGCATGACTCCCACTGCACCTGGATGCGACCGTCCCGTCCACAGTTGAGAACTCAAAGCAGGGCGTTGGTCACAGTCTTGGCATTTTGTGAGCCCTCCCCCCGTCCTCCTCTCACCCCCTCCCCCCCCGAAAAGAGATTGCTTTTTCAGTTTTAAACAGATAAGTATGTTACACTCGGGTGCGAAATTGGAAGTGAATTGGGACAGTGATGTGTGTGTGTGTGGCTGGGGCATGTTTGTTCTCAGTGGTGCAGGACACACTGAGGCCATTGAGGACATTCTCTGCGAGGCAGGCGAAACGTGACTGCCAGTGAGCGCAAACACAGCTTGCGTGCCAATCATCGCTGGCACTTCCATGTATTTATTGCGGGTTGTGGCTGTGGAGGGCCTTGTGTGTGTGTGTGGTGTGTGAACGAAGCTCCATAAACGATCGCGGCGATGTCCGTTAACCCGTTAAGATTCATCGCGACTCTTTTGTCGTTCCTCTCTCTTTCTCTCTCCTCGTTCACAGGAGGGACGCAGAGGTGAATTCAGCAAACCTCCCAGGAGAATTTTCGTGGGGCACTAACCTCACTTCTCGTAATTCGGGCTTTACTGGCTTTTGTAAAGTACTTTTTGGGTTTTAACACTGAACACACGGATAGCAAAAGGCCCCAAAATCCAAGCAGTCAGCAATAGAACCACACCAACGTTGTACTATTTTATTTTTTTCCAGCTAAGGCTCACTGAGCTATACAGCTTATTTTTCAGAAGCGACCTGGCCACAAATGATAGTTCAACGAAGTGGCTCATCATCATGTGGACATTTATAGGAGCCAAATACTCTTGAACGCACGTTGATTCTAAATGTGGAGCGGAAAACCGGAGGACACGGAAATGAATCCACACGACCACCGGGAGGACAAGCAAACTCCAAATGTACAGCAGGCGTTAAGGGTCTGGATCAAACCCACAACCTCCTGTATACCAGGTGAGGTAGTTAACATCTCGCCACCGGATAGGGAGCCATGTTTGACGATTACCATTTGTTCACAATCGCAGTGGCAACTTGTTGTACCTAAAGTGCAAAAACCTACGGTGGCCCTCCCCTCGTTTGACTTAAGACTGAATTGTGTACCCCGTGCTGTGTGCGAACATCATCGTCGATTCTGGGGGGACATATGTGGCGAGGCACTTATAAGGCCAACCTTGATGAGTGGGGATCTTTATCTTACGAAAATGAAATATAGTACCCGCTAACTATAGGACATACCGAAAATCGCACAGTAAATATATACATTTTTTAAACCATAAACCAAATTCATCCATTTTATTTAAATTAAACGCAGCGACAATAACTTTCACATTACAAGTCAATATTGCAATTCGAAACACATCTTACAGCTTTAATGTGTGTGTCTGTTGGTGTGGTGACTACCGCTCAGACTATTCGAAACAACAACAACAATAACAAAGTCATTTTGGAAACCATTTACAAAATATATTCTTCTTTAAAAAAAGAGACGTATTTGCACAGATTGTCAACACACACCTCTTGGGGAGTGGAGCATCATTCCTCTCGTAGGTTGCACGAGTAATTATTATAATTAACAAACTGGAACTATTACATCAGCAGCAGTGCCTCGCCAGAGTCCAAGAGTTCTCAGTGAGAATCCTGTACGCGATGTTAGGCCAATCTTGTGCTGCTGTTTCGCATTGCCATCGTCATATAACCTGTCATCAAATATTACGAACACATTTTCGGTGTGTCTTAAGATTACACCATCACTTAGCATACACAAGATTATGATTTTTTTTTAAGATGACACTTCGTACAATTTGCAAATGGTAAAACAAAAAATACCCAAAATCAAATGAAAGTGGCAAATGAGAACTTTGGTGGCAGCACATCCGTGAACAGCAGCAGCGGCGGCAGCAAGAGTTCATAAGTGGCGACACAAAGCCACGTGATAGTCGATCATTTCTAAGATGAAATTAATAATAATTCAGAACGCAAATATGAATGCCCTTTATCCAGGAAATCAATTTGGAGTCTTCAGACTCACTTTCAGGAGGGCGCTGCTGCATTGCGAAGTCTGGTCAATTCCGCTGAATGAGCATTGACGCCTGCTGCTGTATATTTGTAGTTTGCGTGTCTCTCTCCCCGTGGTCGCGTGGATTTTTATTCATGGCTCTCCGAATTTCCCCTCCACATTCAGAATCAACGTGCGTTCGGAGTATTTGGCTGCGATAGATTCCGACGCGATGATGAGCCACTGCGTTGAGCTATCATTTGTGATAGCGAAGTCGCTGCTGACACAAAGAGCTATGAAGTTCAGTGGGCCTTACCTGGTAAAAAAAAATACGAAAAAATATTTTGGCTTCATGTGGAAAGGAAACTGGAGAAGACAGGAGAAACCCCAGGCACATGAGGAGGTTGACTGCACTCAAAAATACTGTCATGCACCCTCCTGGCCACCCCAAACCACCCTGACATGTGTTTATTTTTAAATAAATTATTTATAACGGTAATCAGGCAATCAGGTGACATTGCAGCACTGTGAGTATATGCGCAAACACGTGATGTTTGTTGCGTAAACTTGTAAGGCGTGGTTCTGATCCGTCTGGCAGGACGTTGTGAGTTTGAAATTCCTGGTGTGGTGACACATGAGCCCATCACCCCTTAGGGGTCGATAAAATGAGCACCGTTATTTTTCTGAAAACTTGTCCTATGGAGAGACTGGCTCCCACCACCGTGGGAATGTGGCATTTTTAGTACTGGCACAGGGCCACCGATGGAAAAAAGAAGGCCACCCCCATTCCTCACCCGAGGCAGGGTTACTCTCTCACGTAACACACATTTCTTTTTTAATACACATATCTCAAATTAAGTACGACACGGAGCGTCGAATGTTTAATTTCAACTTCACCGGCCCCGTTCATCACTAGTTCAGCGGCCTAAAAAGAAAAAGTTTCATCGATCGACCCAAAAGAAAAAATATCCACCGCCAAATGCTGCCGGGTGTGAAATTCCCGCCGCTGGCTCCGGACCGTCGGCGGGAAGGCGCGGCATGGCCACTCCCCGCGAAGTAGAAACGCAACAACAGACGGTGACCAGGAGCCGCTGGCTCAAGCGCCAGGGCGAGTGAGGGTCACGGACCGTGGGTCAGCGCGGGGTCGAGGCCCCGGCTGGCTCTCGTGGCGCGGCCAGCGTTGGGGCCGCTGGCCACGGTCTGGTCGACTCGCGTGATTATGTCCCGGGGAGGAGCAGGGCGAGAATTTGCTCACGTGTCCAGCTCTCGGTGCTGATGCTGAGATCTGGCATGGCGAGTTTGCTTCGGTCTAAGGGCAGGCCGAGTGTTTGTGCCGCTCGTGCGGTCGGGAAGAGTGCCCCCCCAACACCCCCAACAACCCCGGTTGGGCCGTGCGCTGCTCCTCGTCCGCCATCGCCCACTCGGCCTCTTTTGCCCCCTTCACCTTCACCGCTTGCGTCCACGGCGCCGCCTCGCCGCTCCCTCGGGCGGAAGAACTCCGACGACTCCCGGCGACGATCGGAGGGCGCCCGCGACCTCATCTCCCCTCACCCCGCCGCGCCATCGCATCGCTCCGCCCCGCACGCCACGGCCACTACATCCCCTGCGTGGCCAGCATGGCCCAGGTGAAGGGGGCCGTCTGATCGTACAGCGAGTCTGCGGGGCCCGACGAGACAGGGATGACGGCGGAGCAGGAGGAGAGGGGGTGGCCGGTTCCCGTCAGCTCGGAGCCGTGGTGGTGGTGGTGGTGGCCGCCGACGCTGTCGTAGGGCGACACGGCAGGGGGGCCCCCGCCGTGACTCTGCCCGTACGGGGAGGAGGAGGAGGAGGAGGCGCCGCCGCGGAAGAACGGCACGGGGAGGCCTGCGGTGGGGCCGGACTGCTGCTGCGCCGGTGAGAGGCTGTTGTTGCTCATGGACCACAGGCTGGGGTACTGGCTGCACGGGGGGTGGGCGCACGCACACGGCCAGGGAGAGGGGGGAGAGACGCAAGGTGTCAGCGCACTGAGATCATCATCAGCAGCAGCAGCAGTCGTGATGAATCCAATACTGGCAGTCATCCGTCTGGCACGTCGGCACACGGTGGGTGATTGGTGAGTGTGGCATTGGGGTGAGGAATAAGAGAGAGAGAGAGAGGTGAGCGAACATCGATTAAAGTTCACAGACACCAAAGGTATGAACGTGACAGCCTTTCCAAAATAAATATGTACATGGAGTCTATAGAATCAACGTGGTAGAGGAGTCCAAATGTGAATACTGAATACGAGATTGACTTCATTGCCAACGAGAAGCACTGCACTGTCAGAGACGTCTCTCTCTCGTCAAGAGAGCGCTGCGAGATGAGTTGCAACTTCGACACAGCCAGAGAGAGAGAGACGGAAACACGAATTGCAGGCAATTTCAGACGAACTCTGAGCTACGGGTTCGAATGCCGAGAGGAGCAATTTGATGGAGAAGGCACAGAGATGGAGAGAAATACAACGACAGACGTAGACAGAATAATGATTTACGGTATCACAGTGGTGTTGATGGTGGCAGTGATGGTGGTGGTGTTAGTGTGGGGAGCGGTGGTGTAGCCGTTAGCGCGCTGCGCAACGAACCCGGCGACCCGAGTTAGATTCCTGCTCATGGCCAGCACCAGTGACGATTATCTGAATCGGTTCTAGGCATCTCTTAGGTCGACTCAGCGACAAATGAGTACCTGGTGCGGTGTGTAAATATCGCCAATAGGGAAACAAAGATGGTCGGGCGTGGTGCTGGCCACCCACCCCCTCGTGTGCCGTGCCGGCCTTCATAGGTGCTCGCTAACAGTACTTGCCCCAACAGCTGTTAAGGCTATACGGGGGATCTTTGCATTTTGGTGGTGGCGGTGCTGCTGCCGTTATCATTGCTGCTGCTTGATGCCACGTGCACTCCTGGTGGTGGTGACTGTGGTGGTGGTGGTGGTGACCGTGGTGGTGGTGACTGTGGTGGTGGTGATAGCGGTAGCACTGCTGCTGCAGCTAGTGCCGCTGGTGCTGCTGCTGCTGCTGGTGGTGGAGTGGGCTGGCGCTACTGCTGCTGCTGATGACTGTGGTGGTGGAGTGAGCTGCTGCTGCTGCTGCTGACTGTGGTGGTGGTGGTGGTGGAGTGGGCTGGCGCTGCTGCTGCTGCTGCTGGTGGTGGAGTGGGCTAGCACTGCTGCTGCTGCTGCTGACTGTGGTGGTGGTGGAGTGGGATGGCACTGCTGCTGACTGTGGTGGTGGTGGTGGAGTGGGCTGGCGCTACTGCTGCTGCTGATGACTGTGGTGGTGGAGTGGGCTGCTGCTGCTGATGATGACTGTGGTGGTGGTGGAGTGGGCTGGCGCTACTGCTGCTGCTGATGACTGTGGTGGTGGAGTAGGCTGCTGCTGCTGCTGATGATGACTGTGGTGGTGGTGGAGTGGGCTGGCGCTGCTGCTGCTGGTGGTGGTGGTGGAGTTGGCTGGCGCTGCGTACCTGTGCGAGTGTGCGATGGCATTGGGCGCCTGCAGGCCGGCCCAGCTCTCGTCCTCGCCGAGCATCGCAGAGCCGTGGTGCAGTGCTGGTGGTGAGAGAGAACACGTGCACACACTTACACACACACACTTACACGTGCACACACACACTTACACGTGCACACACACACACTTACACGTGCACACATTTACACACACACACACGTGCACACAACAACCGCCATTCGCCACTAAGTGGTGGTGACGTCACCACGACGCTTGTGCCAGGCCATGTGCACCTTGAGGCCACGTGAAGTGTCGAACGCCCGCTGGCAGGAGGTCACGGGGCAGACCCAGGTGCAACGGGTTGACTGACTGAGATGACCGAGATGACTGGCTGATGCACCACCTGTGCCCCCTACTGTGCCTCCTACTGTGCCAACTTGCTGTGCTTTAGCCACCCGGCGCTCTGCTCGTTGTTGTGAGCGTCGCTCCTCCGCCCTCCGTTGTTGCTGGAGGGCGACTGCCTCCAACTGCCCAGTAGCGTCCTTCACGAGCCTCCTCCACAGAGGCCGATCTTGACACCGCTGGTACCAGTCATCGGCAAGTCCACTCAGCTCCACGTCCTCCTGTACCACATCATTCCATCTCTTCTCTAGCCTGTGCCACGCCCGTTTAGCCCCCTCGATCCTGCCGAACAAAAGCTGTTTCTGCATGCGGTGGCTGGGCATGCGGGCTACATGACACAGCCAATGCAGCCTTGCCTGCCGGAGGAACTCACCGATGGGACTTTGCCCAGATCTTTCAAGGATTTGTGAACTCCCCACACAATCCAGCCTGGTTAAACCCAGGATGGATCGTAGGCAGGCCAGCCTAAATGTTTCCAACTGGCAAAGATGCTCCAATAGGGGGGTCCACGTTTCGCAAGCGTAGAGAAGGAGGGAATGACTGTGGCCGAGAAGACTTGAAGCTTCGTGCAGAGCGACAGACCAGGTAGCTTCCACACAGCGTTACGCAACCGATGAAAAGATATTGCCGCTCGACTGATTTGGAGTGAGACCTCTGCTGTTAAACTGGAGCCGGTCATAAGCACACTGCCCAGGTATGGGAAACTCTATACTCTTTCCACTACTGCCCCATCACCGATTGGGAGTTGTGGGGGTGGAGTGTCCGATGGTACAAAATACCCAGGCAGGTGCTTAGTTTTGGTGGGGCTGATGGTAAGGCCCCACCTCTTAGTGGCACGCTCCAGTCTCAGCAGCAGCATCTCCAACTCCTCCTCTGAATGAGCAGCTATTACCAAATCATCGGCATACATAACGTGGTTGACCAATAGGGAGCCATCCCTTGATCGCACCCGGGCATCGATCAGCCTACCATTATATCTGTACCAAATGGAGATTCCCCCGGTACAGCTATTGAAGGCTTCACGAAGTACGTGGTCAAAATAGATGTTAAATAATGTGGGAGCCAGAGGATATCCCTGTCGCACCCCAAGGTGTACAGGGAAAGGCTCTGACTCCCGGCCACGTAGTTTAACCCGGGCCCGCTCACCATCATGAAGGTCCTTAATGATCGTAAGCAGCACTTACACATACACACACTTACACGTGCACACACATACACTTACACGTGCACACACTTACACGTGCACAAACACACACTTACACGTGCACACACTTACACGTGCACACACACACACTTACAACCAGACTTCGCACACACTCCTATGCACAAGCTCTGGGTATTTTCACATATAATTAATGGATTAATAGATTGTTTTTATGTATTATATGTATTATATATATGGACAACAATAAGCAGCAGCAACGACATGTGTTCTGCCTCACGGCAGGGGTTTTGCCTCACGGTAGATGGGGGGGTGGGGGCGTATGTACACAGGAATTTTCTGTTTTTGATGCTAATTTTGGTCACGTGACCAGGAAGTTGCGATTTAAGATTCCCCCTCAACCACGTGGGCGTCGGCCATTACACACATAATTCAAGATGGCGGCACACATCGCGTCCCAGTGAAGCCAGCCACAATTGTCCATTGTGGGACTTTAAGAAGCATTGTCTGTAAGTTCGTTTATGTTCTTATAATATTGGCAATGCTGTTATAATGTTAGAATGACCGTTATAATGATGTAAATGCCTTTATAATGCTGTTAAATTGTTATGATAAATACGAGGCCTAGTTAACAACGAAGCCTGCAACTTTCCTTATTGTGAATGTTACTTGTAATTTAATAAGTCGAGTCAAACTTTTACCCAAGTAACTATATTGCGATCCTGAGAGGAAGGATGACGAAATACCTCATCCACAATTTAGTGTTATGTGTAATACTGTACATTTGGGGTGCAGTGTGATGAATACACGATGTGCCTTGATGTAACACAGCAGCTTATGCTCTTGTATAGTTATTCAGTGGTACTGTAGGGGCCTGGTCCATCCAGGGTCTATTGTTGAGAAACATGTTATCTAAGACAATGTTCTGATGCTGTGGTGTTCATGCATTGTGTTGGTGTTTCCGGGTATTAACAGATGCTGTATCTGTGCTGTTTTCTCACCAGTTTTACCTCGTTAAAATCAATAAATGACGTTTGGAGTCGGATGTTCACCCTGCCTCTGAGGGTTTATTGGACGCGAGGTTATCTACTCAGCTAGCGGTGCAACGCAGCGCATAGCGAGGCCGAGACAACATTATTTGCAGCCATTTTACAAACCACTGCTGAATTAAGTGCTCCCTGTGTTGGTCATGGGGGCTTGTTTGACCATACTTCACCACGCTGGGTCGAGTGCGGGTGAGCGAAGGGGAAGCCCACGGCCAGTTCGGTACCCACACTTCGCCCCACCACACATCCGACCCCTTCCCGACAACTCACTATGTGGTGTGCCCAAATGTATGCTGCCGGGTGGTGAAAGAGCCGGGAGGTGGGGTTGAAACCGGCGACCTCGAGATTGCAAGCCCAGTTCACTGGCCGTTAACACCGCGGTAGCTGCCTACATAGAGCTGAACGATTAATCGATTTCAAATCGATTAATCGCAATTTGAAACAAAGCGATTAGCAAATCACAAAGGCTGTGATTTGGAAAGCCTACTACTTGTTGGAATTGTTTTCATTTTGATTATTTAACAATTGTTATATGTTTGATTGTTCTATTTCAATTAAAAAAAAATACATGTTGGAAGCAATTAATATATTTTAAGTTCTCATCCTTACATTAGAATATATAGAGCATATTCTTGGATCTTTCGGTAAAGTCACGTAGATAGGTTCAAAGAAAATAACAAGAAATAACAAAAAACTACGACGTTTCGATCGCAACACAAGCGGTCGTCTTCAGGAAAAGGGGGTTAGCTACCAAGGCAAATTGTTTATAAGGGTTTGAAATGGGCGTGGCCCAAATGTCAGCAGCCAATGATAATGTCAATGATGGGCAGCCAACCCGACGGTGGTTTGTTTTCCACCAATCAAAGGGCTGCCAGGTGAAAATTAGCATGTTAAAGAGAGATTAGCATGATTTAAAGCTTTCGTGACTGCAGGAATTCTTACTCTTTGGGTCTGTCGGTAAAGTCAGGTAGATAGAAAAGACACCAGATGGCTCATTGGGACACTGTCTACTTGAAAGCCACCCACACGGATGCCTATCTAAAACCTGACTCCCACCACCATCCAGCCCAGAATAATTCCCTCATCAAAACTCTACACCACAGGGCTCGTTGCATTTCCGACCATCACCACCTAGCCAGTGAACTGGAGCACGTACACCAAGCCCTCAAGATGAATGCATCTATCACCCCAACCGCTGGGAGAGAACCATCTGAGGACCCAATCAAAACCATCACCTTGCCATACATAGCCAAGACGAAGGTACTCTGCAAACCTACTGGCTATCAACAAAGATTCGTTCATGAAGCCATCCAGATATATATACACAGACAAATTTTCAACCGAGAAGATGGGTACAAACTTTGCAATCATTGGAAGGACGTTATTAACCAGTTTAAGTCATAACTGGCTGTGATGTTTTTATCCTACCTGCCGATGTTAGCAGTTATTTCCGACTCTCTGAGTTGCATTCCTCGATGTGGCGGTGGCTACATTGACCTGCTAATCTCTCACAATACAATGGCCAGCCCAACAGCTTTGGGGTTTCCTCGATCTCCCTTCTCTAACCCCGCCCACTTACCCTTGGGCTGCATCCATCTCAGGCCTATATAACACCCTGTTACTTCAGCAGCTCTCTTGCTATATTTTTTCACCTGAGGACGATTGCTTGTGTTGCGATCGAAATGTCATGATTTTGTATTATTTTTCTATCTACGCGACTTTACCGAGAGACCCAAAGAATAGGAATTCCTCCAGTCACGAAAGCTTTACGTCAAGATATATAGAGCAGTTCATATTTTGATGGTGTCATGTGGTAATGCTCCATCACATGTCATAAATCTATTACACAGTGAATATTGAACTGAAGCTTGACTTTAAAAAATTTAATCGCAAATCAAATCGCAATATCTATCAGAAAAATCGCTATTCGATATTTTCCCCAAATCGTTCAGCCCTATTAGGTTATGTTTCTCAGCAGACGCAACGTTTCAATCCACTCCAAAGATCTTAACCTCTCGCTCAGCGAACAGAATGCAAACGGCCGTACTGCGCATCATTCGTAGTGCGACAGATTCTCGTGAGAGGCAACTCGGACAGGGCTTCGCTAACTGCGTGCGCAGGAAAAGTGAAAATCTTAAATTGAGAAAATAATTTTTAAAGGGCCAGGGAAGGCAGGGGTTCCAATTGTTGGCACCAGCTCACCGCTCAGAAGCCTTCCAGCTTGTCGCCTGTTCCTCGCGGAGACGCAATTTATTAGGTCGCACTCATTACACACAAAGTGCTTGACATGAATGGACCACAATGCATTGCTGATCTCGAAAAGGAGCATAAACCAACACGCAAACCCCGGTCATCCTCGCAGCAGTGGCTGTGTGTGTGTGCACGATCGAACAAAGATGGTGGTCACCGCATCGCACGCTTTCAGATGCGCTTCTGCAGCCGTCTGGAACGTTCTTCCTTCCGATATTAGGAAGCCACCGGAGCTGTGCACTTTTAAATCATCTAGATTGAAAACTCATTTCTTTAGAACTGCTTTTTGTATTTAGTTTGTTGTCCTTCCCCCGCACCTCCGATTAGCGCGGCTGGCTACGTATGGTGCGAAAGAAGATCCACGTGCATACGTACACTTTGCACGAACGATGATTAATTATATAATCAGGAGAAAGAAGAGACTCGAAACACCGCCAAAGAGAAAGAGAGGGAGGTCGAGCGGGGTGGGTGTTTCCGTATTGAGTTGGCACAGTAACCAAGACAGAGGAAGGCGTTACCGTGCTGCATTGGCATGGTAACTGAGAGATAAGGGGTGGCGTTCCGTGCTGCGTTGGCATGGTAACAGAGAGAGGGAGGGAGGTGTTACCGTGCTACATTGGCATGGTAACTGAGAGATAAGGGGTGGCATTCCGTGCTGCGTTGGCACGGTAACTGAGAGAGGGAGGGAGGTTCTTACCGTGCTGCGTTGGCACACGGCTGGGGTACGGCGCCACGCGGTGGGAGTGCAGGCCGGAGAGACGCTCGCAGCCCAGCGGCGTTGCGGTGCCCTGGGCCAGCGACATCGGCTGTGGCTGAGGCTTCCCCATCCACCAGCCGTGGCTCGCTGCACAAACAATGGACAAACGGCATTGGTGGAGGCGCGGTTTGGCCACCACGCTCGCGGCACACGCGTCGTTGAATCGCGAGCGTCACAACACGATATCTCTCTCTCTCTAAACGTGCGTTTAGAGGTCGTTTGCAGTCCCACCCGCTGTGATGTCATAACGATAAAGGTGCAGCGCTGCATGTTGCCTACTCAAGTCACTGCTGGCAGAAAGAGCCTCCACCAAAGTATCGGGTCGCCGTGGTGGCGAGATGTTGACTACCTCGCCTGGTGTGCAGGAAGTCATGGGTTCGATCCACGACCCTGATGCCTGTTGTATATTTGGAGTTGCGTGTCTCTCTCTCCCCGTGGTCGCGTGGATTTTTTCTCCGGGGCCTCCGGTTTTTTCCTCCGCATTTAGAATCGACGTGGTGCGTTTAAAGTATTTGGCTGCTATAAATTTCCACACGTGATAAGCCACTTCGTTGAGCTATCATCTGTGGTGGCCAGGTCGCTTCTGAAAAATAAGCTAATAGCACAGTGGGGCCTTACCTGGTGAAATTTAAATTTGGTTTTTTTTTGCGTGTGATTTGCTTACCTTTCCTATACTTTACACTCCTATCGTCTTTTTGTGTTGTTTGTGGTTGTAACTGTCTGGCCTGCCCCCTACTGGACATCTGTGACAAAGAGCTTTAGAGCTCATCGGATGTGTAGCGGCAAAAGCACCCTGAGCGGATGCCTCTGCGCTGCGTGGCAGTTGTTCGGTCCTCATTAGAACTGACTGTCTTATTAAAGTCACTAAATTTCGATTTAACGACAGACCTGTTCTTCACCTGAGGACGGCTGCTTGCGTTGTGGCCGAAACGTCGTGAGAATGATTTTATTATGTTTTATTTTTATTATTTTATTATTTCTATTCTACGTGACTTTACCGAAAGAACCAAGAAGAAAAGTCACTAAGGTTTAAGTGTGAAAGTAATTCTACTACTTAATTCCCAATATTATTATTATCGGAGTATGCGGGGAAGTCATACGTATGTACAAGTTTGTTCGTTTGTTCCTTTGTTTTTTAAATCTCTAATTGCGGAATGGCATTGATGTCGTCTGCCAGTCCGAGCCACTGACTTGACAAAAAGCTTCTTAGCTCTACGGGTTTTACTGGGTGGGAAATCAACTTCTGATTCTGGCTGTCGCTGTTGCTGCTGTCGAGAAGAAGAGATGTCACTCACCGTGTGAGTACGGACTCTGTGGACAGTCGCTCACGTTCGAGTCCTTCATGGTGTGGCTTCTGGAAACGAGACGCACATTTTTTTTGCTTGTTTTTAAAACAACGTGACGAGCTCGCGCCGAAATCGAGTCGCTGTCCGTACAGTTTCTGTCCCCCCCCCCCATCCCCCCCACAGACACATTGAGCTGTAATAAATAAATAAAGTCAAAGCATTACGATGAGCCTCCTCATACAAATGGTGCTGCACATGTAATATGGTGTCATGATAATAATAATAATAATAAACACATCATTTACAGCCTACACTATGGGGACCTCATTTGCCAGTAAAAATATGATAATTGGTTCTTTACCCTTCTATCTGGCAACAAAACTGACACTTGCAAAAAGGTGTCAGTTTTGTTGCCAGATAGAAGGGTAAAGAACCAATTATCATTTACAGCCTGTTCAACAATGCACTGCTGTGGGTGGGCGGTGACGGCGCGGTTGATTGACCATACTTCACCACGACGGCGAACAGTGTGGGTTGGTGAACGGGAGGGAGATTTCAGCAACCGGTTCTGATATCACTCGCGACGAATGTTCGCGATGACCATGAAACAAACCAAGGTCGCTGGGTTTGCAGTGCAATACGCGAACGTGTTCCACAGGACTGTAGGAGCTGCCAAGTCTCAAGTTAAACACCTCCCTGCTCGGCCAGTGGTAGCAATTGCACTGTCATATGGCAGTATCCAGTCTATCCAGAGTAGAGTTGCCCGTGGTATCTCAGTGAAAAAACTAAGCGATTATCGACAACGATGCATTAGCCAGTATGAAGATTATAACAATGTGATCTTTGCAAGTTCACATGACAGCGTTGGTTGCAAGTATCCGTTGTAAACATTGGTAGAAGTTAATCCACTATAACAACCACAGAATATGAACAGTATTAATTTTTACCAGGTGAGACCCACAGCGATAGCTCAACGACACTGCCTGTTGATTCTACATGTGGAGGGAAAAAAGCAGAAGACCCGGAGAAAAATCTACGACACCACATGGAGAGAGAGAAAGTAATGCAAACTCCAAATATACAGCAGGCATCAGGGTTCGGGTCGAACCCACGACTTCCTGTATACCAGGCGAGGTAGTTAACATCTCGCCACCGTGGCATCCATTGTGGACTAGAAGATGCTCACTCCAATGTAAACACGCGCTGCCCACGGTAACAAAAGTTCAAGGCGCAGCCCTGCAATTACCCGCTCGCACCATTGCTGGCAGGAGGGCCATCCACTGGAGGCCGCTCCAGAGAGAGCCCCCGGTCTAGTGCGTATATTTGGCCTACTCTTCCACGCTGGCCAGACGCCTTGGAAGTGGTGGGGAGTGCCCCGCGCTTTACCAGACCGCACGCGGCCTCCAGAGCGACGACAGCCGTGGTGGCGTGGCGCTGAACCCGTGCGGCGAAGATTCTGCTTGCGCGGGGATTTAAGGAGCATTCTCCATTGTTTCGAATGCCGCGCCTAGAGCTTGAACCTGGCCACCCCGTCGCAGTGCCCATCCCGACAGGGCGGCAGCGTCGCGAGTCTCGGTGGGATGGCAGAGAACTCGGCCGAGGGCCGACTCGGCTGAGGACGATGGTGCAGTGCGTGCGCCGCACAGATTCTTCAAACTCTTACCTTTCCTTCGCGTCCAGAATTCCCTTGGCGAATGGGTTGTGCAGGATTTTCAACGAAGTGACCTGAAAAGCACGAAAAAGTCACCGTTCAAAGGGACACCTTTACATGCCGGGGAACGAAACTCATCCCCTTGGGCCCGCTGAACGTCATCGCGACGCGTGCCCCGTGTCCCCGTGCCACACGCCCCACACCCCGTGTCTCCGTGCCTCGTGTCTCCATGCCCTGGCCGCATGCCCCGTGCCCCGTGTCTCTATGCCCCGTACCCAATGCCCCACGTCTCCATGCTCTATGCCTCATGCCCCTGTACCCCGTTTCCCCGTGCCCCATGCCCCACACTCCACGTCCCCGTGTCCCGTGTCGCCGTGCTCCATTCCCCCGTGCGGCCCACCTCCTCGTTCTGGTAGGCGGTGACGGCGATGAAGCGCGTCTCGGGGAACGCGTGGCTCGTGACGAGGCGCTGGGCGCCGCCGACGCGCACGATGTGGATGCGGGGCTGGTACTTGTGGAGCGAGTTGAGCATTATCTGAGCAGCAGCGACGACGACAATGAGATTCACATAGACGACAAAGCCGTCAACGCTGGTGATGCCATCGTCATTATCACCGTTATCATGAGAACAACCAACTTCACCAATTACCAACGTTTTGTTGCAAAATATTGCAACAAAACGTTTGATTTTGTAATTAATTGCAAACTACCTGGGTGACTGGCTAAACGAGACTTTCCATGTGACAAATACAACATTGATGTATTGATTGATATCGTCGTAATGGCATGGTCATAAAATTGTATTGGAGAATTATGATTCATGTACAGGGGGCTCGGTTTAGGGAAGGCACCTGACAAAGCCATCAACACTTGTCGACACACGAGTATGGCAGCGAGAGCAGTTTATGCGAATGCCGTCACAAAGAGGTCACAGGTTTGGCTGAACTCTCCTTCGCTGACTTTGCTTGACGAATGAATGAACGAATCAACAGTCGTCCCACTGTGGCCGCGTCACGTTGATGAATAGTGATGCCATCACCATTATCAACTCCTTCATTGTGGAGCTGGCCAAACACCCCAATGTAGGACCACAGAGCTTGGGGGGAAATTGCTGGCAGCGGATCTGGCTGCCGGTCTTCCCAAATGTCTGTGGCTTCCTGAGCCCCCACGTGAAAGACTGTGTGGGCGTTACTAAAGCAGCATCATTGTGAGATGCAATTCGCATGAATGACGATTTTCAAACGTACCACCGACACCGCCATCGACACCATCAGCAATTTCACCGCCACCACCAATAACAACACCACGAACACCATCACCACCAACAACGTTATCACCAGATCACCACATCACCAGCATGCCACCACCACCACCACGACACCATAGCCACCACCAGCATCATCATGACCAGCACCACCAAAACATCGCCACCACCAGCACCAAAGACAAAGACCCCCCGTATAGTCTTAACAGACTGTTGGGGCAAGTGCTATTTGCGAGCACCTATGAAGTCCGGAACGGCACACGAGGGGACGGGTGGCCAGGACCACGCCTGGCTGCTTTCGTCCCTCTAGTGGCGATGTTTACGCACCGCACCAGGTGCTCATTTGAGGCTGAGTCGATTGATTTGTCTGACCAAGATGAGAGCCCATAGTCAAAGGGATTAATGTAACCAGGAGGCCCAGGACCGGTTCAGATAATCGTCACTGGTGTCGGCCGTGAGCGGGAATCGAACTCGGGTCGCTGGATTTTTAGCGCACTAACCACTACACTAGTGTGTGTAACCACTACACTACCGCTCACCACCAGCACCACAACCATAATCATGACCGCCACCACCAGCACCACCACGAGCGCCCACCTGCCCGCTGCCGTTCATCTTGTTGGAGAGCTTGACCTTGCAGAAGGAGACGGGCGCGCGCATCCAGTGCGCCCCGAAGTTGGGCGAGTCCGGGTGGATGTAGACGCAGCTGGGCGGCTGCGGCTCAGGCTTGCCGCCCGCCACCCACTCGCCGTTCACGTACTTCCAGCGGTGGGCGTCGGCCGCGCAGAAGTCCAGCAGCAGGGAGTACATGGCGTTCGGGTCTAGGCCGGACACGGACGCCTTGATCACGGGGAACATTCGCCTGCGCGCAACACAGCGATGGGAGAGTCACTCGCAGCCAGGGCTTGGAGACAGAGTGATTGCTCTGGCCAGATGAGAGCTCATAGGCAGAGTGGAGCATCTGACCAGATGAGAGGTCATAGACAGAGTGGGTCATCTGACCAGATGAGAGCCCGTAGGCAGAGTGAATCATCTGATCAGATGAGAGCTCATCTGGTCTCTGTCTATGAGATAAGAGCTCGTAGAGGGAGTGAATCATCTGACTGGGCAATATTCATGCTGGCAGCCGCCCTGGGCCCCGCATTTTGGGGGGCCCCACACGTCGAGGTCACGGTGTCAGATGCAACACTTCCGGTTTAGTTTGAAGGCGTCAGAGGGCCCTAACCACTTACACCTGATATTATCATCACACGTGACCCTAACCATCACACCACAGCAACAACCCCACGTATAGGTAGAGACCGCTTTGTACACGGTGCTCAAATTGTTATTAAACATATTATTAGCGGTAGTATTATTCTGCTTTTTTCCATCTATAAAAACCTCGCTGAGTCTCATGGACTCTTTTTTAAGAGGGTCCTGCCAATGTTTTGCAGTAGAGGGTGGGGGGGGGGCAATGATTGGTAGGTGCAGTTACGCGATGCATCTTTTCGGGACGTACTTCATCGCACTCACGCAATTGTCAAATTACATTTTTCTCGAGAAAACTCATGACTATTAATGATACAAGATTCAAAGTTGAAAATGTCTCATTTTCTGATGGCGTCACCACCGCGTCATGGCAGCGCCCAGCGTCACGGGCTGGGAGTAGCCATCTTAGATCTGCTGCCCTCAAGTGACTCCTCATTAAGTCGAGTAGACCCCCTCTTAACCACCTCACGCCTGTTCACGAATAATCGCTCAGCGACGGGCTTCCATAGAGCCCAATGTGTAGTGTATAGTAGTGTAGTGTATAGTAGTGTAGTGTATAGTAGTGTATAGTGTAGTGTATAGTAGTGTAATGTATAGTAGTGCAGTGTATAGTAGTGTATAGTAGTGTAGTGTATAGTAGTGTAGTGTATAGTAGTGTATAGTGTAGTGTATAGTAGTGTAGTGTGTAGTAGTGTATAGTGTAGTGTATAGTAGTGTAGTGTATAGTAGTGTATAATAGTGTATAGTGTAGTGTATAGTAGTGTAGAGTGTATAGTAGTGTATAGTGTAGCGTATAGTAGTGTAGTGTATAGTAGTGTAGTGTATAGTAGTGTATAGTAGTGTAGTGTATAGTGTAGTGTATAGTAGTGTAGTGTATAGTAGTGTAAAGTGTATAGTAGTGTAATGTATAGTAGTGTAGTGTATAGTAGTGTAGTGTATAGTAGCGTATAGTAGTGTAGTTTATAGTAGTATAGTAGTGTAGAGTGTACAGTAGTGTAGTGTATAGCGTAGTGTATAGTGTAGTGTATAGTAGTGTAGTGTCGTGTGTAGTGTATAGTAGTGTAGTGTATAGTAGTGTAGTGTGTAGTGTAGTGTATAGTGTAGTGTATAGTAGTGTATAGTAGTGTGTAGTAGTGTAGTGTATAGTGTAGTGTATAGTGTCATGTATAGTCGTGTAGTGTATAGTAGTGTATAGTAGTGTGTAGTAGTGTAGTGTATAGTAGTGTATAATGTAGTGTATAGTAGTGTATAGTGTAGTGTATAGTGTAGTTTATAGTAGTATATAGTAGTGTAGTGTGTAGTAGTGTAGTGTATAGTGTAGTGTATAGTAGTGTAGTGCCTCCATAGAGCCCAATGTGTTCGCTTACCGACCATTCCCCTGTTAACGACTGGTTGTTGTAGGTACAGTAAATATGAATGAATGCATTGATTAACCACGTTTATTTTTAATATTATGTGTTTATAATGTTGTTAGTATCTGCATGTATTAATATCCATTGTGTCAATATTATAGAGTACGTTTTTTGGGTGAAAAAGGGTAACTTTCGCTGCCATCGGAACGAATTAAGCCTTTAACGTGCATTCCCTCTACTCGCTTAACGACCAAATCACTTAGCGACCGGTTTCGTGAATTGTGGAACTGTGGAACCAATCACCGTCGTTAAGAGGGGTTTTAAAGTATTCTCTGCAAGTAGTAATCGTTTTAATTTTTATTATTATTTGTTATTAAACTCATTGTTAAGCAATTTAGTCACGTTAATAATAATAGTATTGTTATTGGGTATTGCATTTGTACATATTTTGTTAAATCCAGGGCAAAAAATATTAAAACAAATTATACTTAATATTTTGACCGTAACGCACCCCCCTGTATAACAAGCATGTCCATGGGAAACTAAGCTTGATGCGGCGTGATTTGCGCTCGTCTGTACGCGCCGTTTCTTGAGGAACACGTGATGCGCGATATGCGAGGGACACCCGCATATTGAAAGGGAGTAATTTGCGGGTAATTTTTTGTTTATGCATTTTCACACCGCCACACAATGGCCTACTCTTGCTATCGACGTCACGGGGATCTTTAACGTTCACTGCGAAGCAGACGGCGCGTAGTCGTAACAGTATTATTATGATGGTGATTACATCGCGGCAGTATTAATCAGGGCGGCCTGCTGGACTTCAACCGCGACTCTCTGCAACAACGAGCGGCGAGCGCGTCACCGGTCAACAGAAAGACTGCGCAGTGTCTCCAATCGAACAGCAACGTTCTTGCCATGACATCAGCACCGCCACCGTCATTATCTCGGCTCACGTCAGCAACGGCACCGCGAACAACAACCATCGTCATCATCATCGTCGTCATCACCATCATCGTCGTCGTGACCGACAATCAGGGCTGGATCAAGGCGTGGGGGCTTTAGGGGCTGCAGCCCAGAGGCCTCCGCTAACTGGAGGGGCCTCCAGAGATGAAGTGAAAAGTGATTTCAGTTGTGAATGCTGAATTTCATTTGTTGTTAGCCTTGTAAAAAATACATTTTATTTTTCTTTAATTTTGTTTACCTTTTAAAATATTGTTGGGGGTGGGGGGGCTCCCAGTACCTGTAGCGCAGGGGCCTACAAAATCGTAATCTGGCCCTTCCTACAATACTTAGCCTCAGCAACACCACACACACCAGAACTATACCTCTAATACCGTGAGTGATAACGCCATCACCGTTCTGAACAATAACACTGCACGGTGTTCCTGCTCACCAATTCAAATACCAGGAGCAGCTAATAGTACCACCACGAGTACCACCGGCTTAGCTTACCACCACCAGCACCGCACCATCAACACTCTCTCATTCACCCCCGTGGGCTTATACATGTACCGTTGCAGGCAACAGCTTCTCTGTTAGACTATTCAATAATGACTCTCTGGTTCTTTCGGTAAAGTCACGTAGATAGAAAAAAAATTCATAAAAAATTATACCTACGTGACTTTACCGAAAGAACCAGAGAATATGGATCCCTGCAGTCACGAAAGCTTCAAATCAAGATATTCAATCATTCCCTGTAGGGCATATACATATCTATCGGTTGTGATAAGATGTTATATATTTAAAACAAAAATTCAAAGTCGAGCTATAAATTGACGTGTAGGCGAAAACACCAAAAAAGTTACGTAGAAACGAGTTTTCTCAACAGAATTAAATGAAGATCCCGTAATATCATTCGCAAGAGTGGGTTGCTGTGTGTCGGCGTGACGCCTGGTACTGCTGGTACAGCGTGGCTCTCAGCACCAGCAAAGAGGCAGTGTCTACTGGTGTTGTACTGCTGGTGGTGCTGGTGTGTGTACTGCTGGTGGTGCTGGTGTTGTGTACTGCTGGTGGTGCTGGTGTTGTGTATTGTTGGTGGTGCTGGTGTTGTGTACTGCTGGTGGTGCTGGTGTGTGTACTGCTGGTGGTGCTGGTGTGTATATTGCTGGTGGTGCTGGTGTGTGTACTGCTGGTGGTGCTGGTGTGTATACTGCTGGTGGTGCTGGTGTGTATACTGCTGGTGGTGCTGGTGTGTATACTGCTGGTGGTGCTGATGTGTGTACTGCTGGTGGTGCTGGTGTGTGTACTGCTGGTGGTGCTGGTGTGTGTACTGCTGGTGGTGCTGGTGTGTATACTGCTGGTGTGTGTACTGCTGGTGGTGCTGGTGTGTATACTGCTGGTGGTGCTGGTGTGTGTACTGCTGGTGGTGCTGGTGTGTGTACTGCTGGTGGTGCTGGTGTGTGTACTGCTGGTGGTGCTGGTGTGTGTACTGCTGGTGGTGCTGGTGTGTGTACTGCTGGTGGTGCTGGTGTGTATACTGCTGGTGGTGCTGGTGTGTATACTGCTGGTGGTGCTGGTGTGTGTACTGCTGGTGGTGCTGGTGTGTATACTGCTGGTGGTGCTGGTGTGTGTACTGCTGGTGGTGCTGGTGTGTGTACTGCTGGTGGTGCTGGTGTGTATACTGCTGGTGTGTGTACTGCTGGTGGTGCTGGTGTGTATACTGCTGGTGGTGCTGGTGTGTGTACTGCTGGTGGTGCTGGTGTGTGTACTGCTGGTGGTGCTGGTGTGTGTACTGCTGGTGGTGCTGGTGTGTGTACTGCTGGTGGTGCTGGTGTGTGTACTGCTGGTGGTGCTGGTGTGTATACTGCTGGTGGTGCTGGTGTGTATACTGCTGGTGGTGCTGGTGTGTGTACTGCTGGTGGTGCTGGTGTGTATACTGCTGGTGGTGCTGGTGTGTGTACTGCTGGTGGTGCTGGTGTGTGTACTGCTGGTGTGTGTACTGCTGGTGGTGCTGGTGTGTGTACTGCTGGTGTTGATAGTGCCCTCCCGTGCCCCCCCATCCCCCCCCCCCTGTGCCCCCCCCCCCCCGTTGCCCCCCACGGCTCACCTGCCCGCCTTGGTGACGATCATCTCGTTGGTGAGTTCGCTGAACCTCTCCCAGAGCTCGCGCTCCTCGAGCGCCACGCGCAGCTCGCGCTCCGTGGGGTCGCCCTTCTCGCTGCCCGCGCGCGACTCGCGCTCCACGGCGCTCAGGAGGTGCTCGAGGCGCGGGGACGACGCCGCGGCCACCGCCGCCGCCTCGGCGCTCAGATCGCCGGCGGAGCTCATCGCTGACGATGCCGCCGCTGCCGTTGCTGATGATGATGATGCTGCTGCTGATGATGATGCCGCTGCTGCCGCTGATGATGATGCCGCTGCTGCTGCTGATGCCGCTGATGATGATGACGATGCCGCTGCTGATGATGATGCCGCTGCTGCCGCTGCTGACACTCGTGCTCTGCTGCTGATGTCGCCCTGCGGGGAACGAAGACGCAGCCGTGGCTTCAGGCGAGACGACGCCAACACCGCCTCCTTCTCCTCCGTGTGTTCACAGCTATTTTACGAATGAAACGCTGCCACCACCGAAGGCCCTCCCGCTCTTTGCTGCTGTTGCTGCTGCTGCCAATGTAATGCTCTCCCCCACAGTTTGGGTCGCAGGCCAATCTCTATAAAGACAAAGGATCCTCCCCCTCCTCCGCCCACCGTATAGCCTTAACAAACTGTTGGGGCAAGTGCTGTTAGTCGCGAGTATCAGCTACGACGTCCGGCAAACGGCACACGAGGATGTGGGGGTGGGTTTGTCGAGCCCGAGCTCAGGTCTACCACTCCGCGAGACTCCATCTGCTTCCCCACTCACTCGCGGCTTAGAAGATACATTATATCGTGAGTTTATCTTAGAACGTGACTGAATTACTCCCGACACCGAAGCTGCGAGTGGATCGCACAAAGTGACCCCGACGTAGAAATATTTTTTTTTTATATTTAAAATAAAAATTCTAAGTTAGGCTGGAATTGACATGTAAGCGAAAACACACACAAAAAAGGTAACGTAAAACGAGTTTGCTCAACAGAATTAAATGAAGATCCCGTGACACAATTCGCAAGCGCGAGTCGTTTGTGTGTCTGCGTGATGCTTGGTCACCCCTGCCGCTGGCGAAGTTGTGGCTCTTTCAGAATCACGATTTGTATTGACGCCGGAGGAATCCTACGAGCTCTATCAAGCTATCTGTGTCGCAGATACGTCTCATGTCCGCATCGTAACGGCACGCACAGCTACTCAATGTCCCATACAAGCGGACTAAGTTCGTATCACGGTGAAGTACTGACCGGTGTTATTTTCGACAATGGGAAAACCTTCCACCGCGTACGGAGTTCTGAAGTCGCTGCCCTGTACAGGCACATCCACTCACGTCGAGATATATCTGATGCCACGTAGACTGGCAGCTGGGAATACGGCTGGAGCGAGTAACGTGCACCGATCTATGCAGAGTCAGAATCTGTATTCATATTGGGGGAATCTGATGAGCTATGAAGATTTTTTTCACGGATGCCCAGTAGGTGCACGGGGTAAGAGCGTGACGACAAGAACGTGTTACACAAACGAAGCACACCGCCCATAGAACCAGGCACAAACTAGACTATTATCTACGGTCTGAATCGTCACATAATATAAGTGTCCATCGTATATTTGTATATAATATATTTGTTTTTAATTCACAGCCTATGCCGTAACGTGCAAACACTATCCTTATTACACATATCTATGGGCGCACGTAAAATAAATAAAAACCCCACAAACACTAAAGCTGTAGAATATTTCAACCCTTCCGGCCGTTCTGTTAAACTCCCTGCGTACTCGATTTGTAGATCCTCGCGGAGTCAACGCGACTATTGTGTAAAACACAACCCCCTATATAGAGAGAGATATATAACATCCACCACACGCTACCTCCTCGCACCTGACATAAGCCACCGGTGACACAGCCTCCTAGACGGACGCATGCACGCACGCAAACCCTCACATAGACCGTCCATGAACTCACGCAGTCGTGTGCTGCTGTTTACGTGACGAGTGTGTGTGTGTCTCTATGTATAAAAAATGTAAGAGCCGAACACACAACCACCTACCTTTTTGGTGTATATATATCTATCTGTAGATTTGTAGAGAGAGAGGGAAAAAAGCCCCGCACACCGACGCACGACCTCCCCGCGTGTCGAGGCAGACACGCACAGAGCGCCCTGCAGTGAACCGCAATGAGTCAAGGGTGGGTGGGTGGGTGGGTTGCTGATGGTGGGTGAGTGACTCTGGGGGGTGGGTGCTGATTGTGGGTCGGGGAGCACAGCGCTCCACGGATGCTCCCCTATTATACGGCGCGATGCCCCTGCGAATGCGGCCGCCGGATTGGATCGCTGCGACTCGCTTTCAAGTCGCCTCTTTTTGCATATTAAAGTGCTGCGCTGATTTAAGCGCGAATTAGCGAAGTCTCCTTTCGTCATCAGCCAGCCCCCCCCCTCTGCCCCAGTTGCTTTCGTTTGTTTTCTTCTTTCCGGCCCCGCCGTCTTGAATGCGGCACAGCGAAAGCGGCGTCGTTGCCTTAACGAACTCCACTCGGCCAGCGCACACAGTCACATGGAGTGTGCTGTTTCATTCAGACTCTGTCGCCTCGACGGACCTGGTTTTCACCTGAGGACGGCTGCTTGCGTTGTGGCCGAAACGTCGTGAGAATTGTTTTATTGTGTTTTATTTTTATTATTTTATTACTTCCCTTCTACGTGACTTTACCGAAAGAACCAAGAAGAGAAAAAAAATAGAACCGGAGAAATCGAGAGAACACCCCCCCCCCCTCTCGGCTATGCGCTTTTGTGAGAAGTCGACACGAACGCCGACTCATCATCGCATCGCCCCTTGTGGCGTTACGCGCCCGGCGCTGTGAAGACAGCAGCTGCTCCCTCGAGTTTGTCGTTGTCCCCGTGACACTGACTTGCTTTGGCCGTACCACGTCGGCCGTGCTAGATCCACTGCTGGATGGAAATGCCCCTCCCCTCCCCACCAAAGCCGCAGCCACTTCTCACGAGCCTGCGATGGTGACGGGTGATCCGTCCGCTCGGCAGATGCGCGCAACTGAATTCATCGCTCCGTCTTTCGGGCGTGTTACGGCCCTGTAGCTGCAGCTCCGTTCTGATTCTCGACCATCGGCAAGACGTGGTCCTGCCCAAGCCCACTCGTTCGTTTAACTCCCGCTGCTTCTCGGCAGAGTTGAATGTGGCCGTCCCGAAAAGCTGCTATTCTTTTAGACGTACCCGTTTCACGTCTAATTCGTCGGGTTATCGATAACAGCACACGTCTGTGCATTAACGCATGCTGTATACTGCGCCTCGGGCAAAAGGTGGTTATTCACAAGCCATGATCTATCCACTGCTGAACCAAGGTCACCCGAAGGCATCGCCATCTCTTTCGCCATCCCACGATCTCGAGATGCAACGATTCGTTTGGCGCAGCAATGATGGGGGCCGTCCAATGTGGGGGAGGGGGCGCGGGGAAACCCCCACACCGCCTGGGCCCCTTCGACCCCTTTCGCACCGAACCGAAAGTATCACTTCTGATACCGGGACGTCGAAGCGAGGAGCCACCCCGCCCCCCTTCCCCCCAAAGTGTAGGGCCCGGGACGGTCGCCCCGATTCGCGGCACCCGTAGAGGAACGCCTCTGCGTGACCATACACAGGAGTTGACACAGTGGTCTTCGCAGATTTTCAGAGGGGGGAACTTTCGCCGATAAGACATCATCACCGTGAGGGCCGCCACACTGCCTGCAAGGGGTTGTTGTTGTTGTTGTTTTGACATGTTGTGTGTCCAGTGGCCATGAAGAACACTGAGTTGAGCTCATCGCTGCATCTCGCCACGGCGGACGTGCTCTCGAGCGCGTTCCGTCCCTTGGCTCTCGATTCCGTCGTTAAGTCTCGAAGGTTCGGCCACCGTTCCACCACCTCGAGACGCGGTGCCTGCTCCCAGCCGCACTCACTGTTATTATCGTCCAGAACGGGGTTTCTCTGACTTGCGGATTTGTTCTCTAACGCGTGTGCTCCTCCACATGTCTCTAAACCGAACTAAACTTGTTATTATGATTTTACGAGGTCAGGCCCACTGAGCTATACAGCTGTTTTTCGGAAACGACCTGGCTATCGCAAATGATAGCTCAACGACAAGTGGCTGATCATCGTGTGGATATTCACACCAGCCAAATACTCGAAGAGCATGTTGATTCTAAATGTGGAGGAAAGACAGGAGGACGCGGAGAAAAATCAAACGTGACCACGGGGAGAGAGAGAGAGAGAGAGACAAACACACTCCAAATATACAGCAGCAGGCGTCAGCATCAGGGATCGAAACCACGACCTCCTGCATATCAGGCGAGGTAGTTAACAAGCTGGGAAGGGCGCAAATAAGCATGGGGAGGTTCACGCTTTTTAGGAATGAAACTCAAAACATTAGGAAAAAAGTGATGAGAGGTTCTTTTTTTATTCGTGTATTTTCTGAATGAGGCCAGATGGCCGAAACGTCTAAATCTTCGTTTCCTCTCAATAGTAAAAAAAAAAAGTGTTGTGTTTCAGATGATATCTTTGTACAGAATGTATTTCATTTCACTCAAGTAGCAACAGCATCCCTATCTAAATCCCACAGATAAATCACATATATCTGGCTGGCATTTCTGACAGTGCTCCTTATTTAGCCTATTACCATATTATCATGATTATAAGACGCTTCGGAAAGTATAAGACGCTGTCCAAACTTGTGCCCGGTGTCAATACAGATTTTTTTTTTTACAAATCTCGCCTCACACAAGGACAAAGATTCCCCCTATATTCTTTCCATAATATTGGGGCAAGTGCTGTTAGCGAGCACCTATGAAGGCCGGAACGGTACACGAGGGGGTGGGTGGTCGACACCACACCCGACCGCCTTTGTCTCCCTAGTAGCGATGTTTACACACCGCACCAGGTACTAATTTGAGGCTGAGTCGACCTAGGGGAGGGAGGCCCAGGACCGGTTTAGATAATCGTCACTGGTGTTGTCCGTGAGTGGGAATCGAACCGTGTTGCCTTTCCCCCACCACCACACACGCGCACAGCTACCGGATTACAAGGTGCACCACGACAAATCTTTCCTATTTTTAAATACAGAAGCGAGAGTTTAGTGGGTGGGACACCACAAAAGTGCGTCATATAATCGGTCCAAAGAGGCCACCCATCCATGCGTCTTGTGCTGTTGAGGTCGCGGCGGCATTGGTGAC